CCTAAGGAAATCTGAGGGACAAAGTTAGTAATAATTGGGCTCCCACAGGGTGGCATAGTAGAGCTGCCTGAGGCATTTGCTACAAAGTGAAGGAGACAGCAACTGAAGACCACAGCTGCTCTGTAGGGAGCAGAGGAGGATGCTAAGTACTGATGTCCCTACAGCCAGTGCCCCCTGACTAGAAGACTGGCCATTGTCTGCCCTCAGATCTGCCATTCATACCCCTGCCCTGACACAATCAGTAGGCCAGGCCTCTGCCTCTCTCTAGCACTCCTTGGCAGATCATGAATGAAGGAGCCAACCCAGGGCTCTGAGGCTCAAAATTACTATGATATCTCTGATTTTTTAAAAATTAAATTTGCATTCCATTTAACAGCATATTGAAGGTTTTTGAGTTTTATATTTTTGTTTTGTGACAGGGTCTCGCTCAGCAGTCCTGGCTGTGCTAGAACTCACTCTGTGGACCAGGCTGACTCGAACTCACAGAGATCTGCGGGCCTCTGCCTCCCGAGTGCTGCGATGAAAGGCGTGGCATGTCTGGCTGCATATCGAGCTTTCAATAGAGAAACAGGGTTTAAGTTGGGTGCAGTGGCTCACACCTGTGATCCTAGGCATGCAGAAGACCCAATCAGGAGGTGTTTGAGTTAGAGAGCAGGCTAGGCTACATGATGAATACCAGGCCAGCTTGGGCTACAGTCTGAAAATAAACAAGCACAATGTTCTGAATTTCCACTAGGGAGCATAGATATTCTGAGATAAGCATGCCCTCCCCTCCCAACGAGCCTCCCCTTCTCATACCCCATGGTTCTGCACACTCCCTAAAACACCACATTCGCACAGAGCCTTTTATCGCCTAATTCACAGCTACTAACATCTGTCTAAGTGAGGTAGTAGGGCCTGTTGCCTCAAAGCAGGGCAAAGTATCCAGCCAAAGGGGAGTTAACCCAAGACAACCTTCTCATTGTCTGCTGCAACTTTGTTTTCCTTCCTCAGAGTCAAACCTTTTTTCTTTTTTAACTCCTTTCCTTTTGGAATCCAGTGTTTCTTCATTAATTTCTTCCTGCCTACTTATTGCAAGTGTGTATAGACCATTCCATGATAAGGATAATGAATTTTTCAGAAATACACATCCATCTAAAAATGTAAATTGCTTTTGTTAGAATGCTCCATTTGGGGAAATTATTAAATGAAATAGCATAATTTGGCAAGCCACTGCATTACAAAAGTGGGTAGGGCTCATCTTGGAAATTACCACTCTAAGTGTGTGTTGTTTTCAGTTTTGCATGGGTTGGGTTTTTTATAGGGTCTCACTCTGTCACCCTTGCTGGCCTGGGAATCTGTGTAGAACAGACTGATCTCAACACTCCTGAGTGCTGGAATTAAAGGTGTGACCCACCATGCCTGGTTTCAGTTTTATTAATTGCCTTTTAGTAACAGTTATTTGATAACCAATTATTCCACATTTCCTATTAAAAAAATAATCATTCCAGCTTCCTAGGGGATCCCTCTCTACTGTAAACCTTCTGTATAGTTACGTGCTTTTCCAAACCGGATGAGTTCTCCTAGCTATATCTATGTTGAGTGTGTGTATAAATGCTTAAATAATTAAATGATTGATGTCTTATAAGAGACCCACTAGTAGGTTGTAGAGCAAATATATGGTCATTATTTTGCTGTAGCATTTTAGTTTCCTAAAAGACATTGATGTGTGCTAAACTGAATAAAATGTGGCTTTAAATTTTTTTGTTTTTCAAGACAGGGTTTCTCTGTATTGTTTTGGAGACTGTCCTGGAACTAGCTCTGTAGACCAGGCTGGCCTCGAACTCACAGAGATCCGCCTGCCTCTGCCTCCCAAGTGCTGGGATTAAAGGTGTGCGCCACCAACACCCGGCTGGCTTTACATTTTTTAAGGGAGCTGCCCCCACCATTTTTAGCATTACTTGTTGGTCTTGTCTCCCCTAACCCCATGATGCTAGGGATGAAGAGTGCCTAGAGCCATGCTAGATCTGAGCTGTATTTCCAGCCTTGGTGGTCTTTGACAGCAAGCTGACTTTCATATTCTGTGTTTTTAGGATATTATCAACTCAATGGTGACAGCATTATTCATGCTTACTGTGTCTGTGTTGGCACTGATACCACAACCTTCAACACTGATAGTCCTTGGAGGGGTAAGTTTCTTCAGGTTTGATCAAAATGCAAATTCATTTGAAAACATGATACAAGTACAGCCAGCTGCACTGTATTCATGCCAGGGGCTCCTGGACTGGCATACAATGCCTACTGGCTTTATAGTTTGTATGGGTAGATGCATTCCATGATTAGCATTAAGTAGACAAGTTTAATACTGGAGTTAGCCAAATAAAGAGGTCCCTCATGATTCCTACAGGGCTGTATCAGACTGAGAGAAGCTGCTAGGATCAGTTACAACACTTAGCTCTGAGAAACCTTATGTTAAAAAAAAGAAAGAAATATGGTGGGTGGGTTTCCTAGTTCTTCTTTTAAAGGGTTTGTATTACTTGTTAGGTGAGACCAAATATTCCCAGAAGGCTTCAGATGCAATATGATAGATTTCCTTACTGCAAGGGATGTGGTAGGAACCCTTGCAAACTAAAGGGTTAAATTCTGAGTGCTGCTTACAGAGAAGCAAGCCAGTTTAATTAGTCAGACTTGATCCTGACTAGCAAGCCAAAGCGTAGGAATTCAGTAATTTCATTACACTCCTCCTGGTAGTTTCCGGAGATTTGGTCTGACTTTTCTAGGCTCTTATGGAGAGAACTGAATTAGAAAAATTCTTCCTACTTCCTTGTTCCTTCTTAGCAAGAGCCATATAGAACTGACCATGCTCTGCTGTGTCTGTCAGAGCCCTGGATTCCAGCTCCCCTAGGCACTCAGCAACTTCTTAAGAGATTATATAATTTTCTAGAAATGAGGTATGCTGAAATACCAGTCTCCAATTGTTTCAAAGACAATTTTATCTGTCTAGTATGAAAAAAGGTGAGGTCAGCCATAGGACTCAAATTCACTTACTGGTTTCTTCTTTCATTTACTCATTGCTTAAATGCTGAGAACATAGAACTGTTATCCAACACAGCAGCCAGTAGCCATGTGGCTACCGAGCACAGGAAATGGGGCTAGAATGACTCAAGATAAGCTCTGAATATAGGATAAGCATCGAATTTCAGAGATCGTTTTATCTCTGCAAAAGAACATAGAATATGTCATTGGAAAATTTTATTATAGCAATGATCTGTAAAGGGATATTATTTTGGATGTGTTAGGCTAAATAAGTGTATTAAAATAAATTGCACGGTTTTTTTTCTTTTTAAATGAAACTCTTGGAAATCTTAATTATGTGGCTCACAATGGAGACTGTGTATCTCTTCCAGGTAGTACTGGGCTGACACATAAGGCTCAGCTAGCCTCAGGTTGCTTAGAGCCTAACACAAGAGATAGAGTGCAGCCAGCAGTAGATAACCCACTAATGGAGTGCTGCCCAGCCCAGAAGAGAGGAAGTAGCTGTATTTCTCTGCCTTTAGCTTAATTTTATTTTGCTCAGGCCTGTCTGGCCTCCTATGTCTTACACGGACATTGCTCAGCCTTTGAGAGTTCACTGTGGAGCATCTCAGCACTCCAGTTTTACAAAACTTGTATCACAGCTATGGTCCCCAGGACTTAATCTGCTGCCAGCACCAACTCTTTCCCGAGCCAAGTATGTTGATAGAAAAATCAAACAGCTGCCCACTGGAGAGAGAATTGTTGGCTGAGAGTTAAATACAGTCGGTAGGGCTGCAAACCAAGAGGGAGAGGTGACTTCCAATCCACCTCAGGGGTTGTTCTCACTACAACGGTCTTTTCCCTACTGGGGGTGGATATGAGAGGAACTTAGCAGTAATCTCTAAAGTCCCTTCCACCGCAGGGTAGTATTGCATGGTAGCACAGAGAACAGGGCACGCTTGGAGAGGTGGGGGCCGTGGCGACCCTCTTGTAGCCTGGCGGGAAAGAAATGTAGTGGGCAGCTCACCGAGAACTTGTGTGACAGAAGCTGATTACAGTGTCTGTGTTTGCAGGTGTTTGGTCTCCTAACAACAGTGTGTACTATTGCTGACTCTGCCCTTATGTGCCGGAAACTTCTCTTTAATCCAAGTGGACCTTACCTGAAAAATACTTCTACTCGTAGCAGAGAATAATTTGTATTCATTTTCACTAGTTATTAAACATATGTTTTTATTCTTCTATAGATTTTCTGCAGTTCTCTTCTTTTTTATTTCAGTGTATGTGCTGGCTAGTTTTATGCCAGTTTGCCCCAAGCTAGAGTCCTTTGGAAAGAGGGCATCGCAATTGAGAAAATTTCCAGACTGGCAGGCCTCTGATGTTTTTCTTGATTGATAATTGATGTGGGAGGACCCGCTCTCTGTCCTGGGTGCTGTAAGAAAGCAGGCTGAGTAAGCTATGGGGAGCAAACCAGTAAGCAGCTCCCCTCCCTCCGTGACCTCTGCATCAACTGTTGCCTCCAGATTCCTGCCTTGACTTCCTGTCCTGACTTCCCAGGATGGCAGTCCTCAAGCTGCAAGATGAAATAAACCCTTTCCTCCCCAAGTTGCTTTTGGTCATGCTGTTCTATCACAAATCCATAGGTGATGTGGGAGCTTAACAGATTTTTGCACTCTGCACTCTGCCGGCAGCCTTACTGTATATGGCTCAGAGCTGGATCTGGCCAAGTGTACCCCAAATGACTCCAGAACCTCTTTCCCCTCGGTTAGCTGGCAGCAGTTTCTGTGGGTGCCGTTGCTGGATTTTGAGTTTACAGACTAGGTGAAGTGTCTTTACCCCAGATTACCACGAGGATACCAGACTGCTAGGCTAGGCCGCAGCCATCAAGAGCACATAGGTGCACGCGGATAGTCTTCTAGTAGCCGTTGCTGCTGGTTTCCCAGGGGACGGGCGGGCGGGCGCCGACTGGAGTACCACCGCCAGCCTGACAGTAGGACTTGGGATGCACCATGAAACCTGCATCCACCAGGCATGATTCCAGGGCTGGATCCAGACGTGAGTCCAGCCGCTCTCCCAGTCGTGCAACATCACAGTCTCAACTGGGCGATCCTCGCTCACGCACGGCGTCCCTGGCGTCTATCTCCTCTGTTGCATCTCACAAGGGACTTCCACCAAGCGCCACACCATCTACTAGGTCTTTACAGTCAGTGTACAAAGAACAGAGTGCCAGCAAAGCGCCACCAAAGAAGCCCGCCCAGAGCCATAAGGCGCCCCAACCTCTCCACGTGTCTCAGAAAATCAAGGTACATGCATCAGTCAAAAGACGCGCTGATGGCCGGGCCAAGGTCCCAGAACGATTCAGAGACAGCTTCAAGCATTTTTTCCGCTCACCCACTGGAATGTTGAAGGTCTTGAGGATGGTGAGCAGAAGCTACCCAGCTGGAAGAACGGGAGGAGGGAGGGCAGTGGCCTCCAGAGTTGAACAACGGTTGCTGGTGGAACAAGTTGTCCGCAATTCCCTTTACTACAGTTTTCTGCCCCCTTTCTTGTCGCCAACCCTGGCCCCGCCTGTTTTTTGAGACAGAGTATCACTAATATAGCCCCAGCTGACCTGGAGCTTACTATATCAACCAGGGTGGCCTTGAACTCATAGAGATCTGCCTACCTCTGCCTCCAGAGTGCTGGAACTAAATGCTGGTGCCACCACGGGCCCATTATCAGTACTAAATTGGCAATTTTCTCCCCCTCTCCTCTTTTTTCTAGGGTTTCCCCTCACAAATGAAAGTAGAAAAATAGGGAGTAAGTAGCAGAAAGTTGTAAATTAGCAAACATAACTGGTGAAGAACTGCCATCTAAAAGAGCTATTCAAACAATACAAAGCAGGCAACCGTCTAGCGAAAACGGAAGTGAGGACATAGATGTAAGGTGAGACCAGGGGCGTGCTCCACTTCTGAACAGGGAAAGGACGGCTGATAGGGGCGCAAAACATCTGGGAATGAACGTTTAATGACCCAAGCTGACCCCAAAATAGAGAATTCAGACAGAACACCACATAAAAGCAGAGGGAAAGCAAGAGGCCTGTAAGGTGGCTCTTCGTAAATGCCGCTATGGCCAATCTTGAAGACCAGACTTCAATTCCCAGAACTCACAGGGTGGAAGGAGAGGAACGTCCCCTGAAAGTTGTCCTCTGACCTTCACATGCTCCTTCTCCCCCACCTAATACATACACATAAGCAAGTGGGCTTCTGAATGATGAAAGTGAATCGGAACAGACATGTTTAGGGCCAGCTCTTTCCGATCAGGAGATATCGTTTGGATGATGCTCAAGCTCTTTTAAGAAGTAAGCACTGGGGGACGACTTCTTTTTCCCAGTGACTGAATACAGGGCCTTGCACTTGCCAGACACCCAGTGAGCTGAGTCCCCATCCCTTTCCGAGTGATTGTTTTACAAAATCAGTCTAGCACTGACATGAAAACTTGATCAGGTTTAGGAGAAGCAAACAGAGGTCTCACAGCACCCAAGCAAAGATTAGTGTTCGGAACCAGGGTGCTTAGCAAGTGTGAGATCCTGGTCCCCAGAACAGAGAAAGTTTTACCATATTAACAAAAGATATCCATCTGATTTTTAAAACATATACCACAAAGAGGAAACACAAGGATGATTTGCTTTAAGAACTCTTTAAAATAACCCATCATATTATAAAGGAAAGGTTATGAGACTAAATCAAATAGTGTTTAAGAACATGTGAAAAAAAACTTGAACATTTGTTTCTGGTTCCCAAACAGGAAGAAGAGGAGGAGGAAGAGACATAAAAATAAGAATAGGGATTTCATTGATATTATAAAGCTAAACATCTTTACTCCCAAATCAGCAAGATCTTCAGTTAAAGTATCACAAGTTTTCTTATTAAAATGAAGAAGAAAAGTGATGCCTACCAATGTTAGTGAGGGCTTTTCTGGAATGACTAATCATAATGAGGAAAAGAAATAAAAATACTTTAAAAGAGGCAAAATACATTTCTTTCCTCTGATATGATTATACACTGGGAGACCATTTAGAGCAAGATAATTTAGCTGGCTGGCAATCAAATTAATAGACGAAGAAACTTTCTATAAATAACTAAAATGTAAGAAGTCAAGCTTAGTGATGCATTCCATTAACCCTAGCATTTGGGCAGCAGAGGCAGGCAGATCTCTGTGAGTTCTAGGCATACATAGGGAGTTCCAGGACAGCCAGAGCTCCACAGTGAGATCTTTTCACAAAAACATAATAAAAAGAAAGTGTTTCTCTTCACTACAGCCATCATAGTAATCAATATTGGGCAAAGAGATAAAAATAAAAACCTATAAGAGGAAAACTTTACAGAGGGAAAACTCAGCACAACAATTTGTTACTAAAAGTTAGATGAAATCCCAATTAAAACACCAACAGAGTTAATGTAGGAACATGACCAAGGCAATCCTGGGTATCATAAACAGTCTGAAAATGAAACCTTAAAGAACTGAATCAAACAGTAGTGTGATACAGATGAGCCTCCCTACCGTTTGAAAAGCCTCTGGAGGCCACGATGGCTCAGCAGTTACAAACACTTGCTGCTCTAACCAGGCTGTTTCTAGCACCCAGATCAGTTGGATCACAATCCCCTTAAACTCCAGCTCCAGAGATCTGACATCCTCTCACCCTCTTGTGGCCTCTATTCACACACACACTTTAAAAAGAAAAACATTTAAAATATACAACTCAATGAGAGACTCAAAAGATTCACAAGCACATCTGAGAATTTAAAATATAGCAAAGATTGCATTTTTGGTCTTTGGGGGAAAATCCTAGCATCTGACTGATATAATCAACTGAACAGAAAGAAAACTGAGGTTCTAACTCACTATTTCTGTGAAAAGCATCATCTATTTATTTAACCAATATATACTTGGATTTCCTTCTAGAAATACAAAGCAGAAGTAGTGATTTCTTTTCAGAAAACAGACTAGCTGGGAGTGGTGGCACACGCACCAGCACTCCAGAGGCAAAAGCAGGAGGTTCTCTTCGAGTTTGAGGCTGGCCTGTAATGCATGGCAAGTTTCAGGCCAGACAGAGCTGCATAGTGAGATCCTATCTAAAAAAAAGAAACAGTAAGAGACTAGGTTTGGATAGAGAAGAAGAAAGACACTTAAAAACTTTTCTGTGTTCAATCTTTATTTACATATTTAACTTCAAAAATATACTTTTAAGTAGGGCTGGGAATGTATCTCAGTAGCAGATTGTTTGCCTAGCATGATGAAGACCCTGGATTTAATCCCTGGCACTGAAAACAATAATTAGTTAATTAAAAATTAAAAAATACAAGCTAGAAATATAACTCGGTGGTAGCATGCTTTCCTGGCATATGCCGGGCCCTGAGCTCAATCCTCAGTGCTACAAAAAATTGGTTAATTTCACTGGGCAGTGGTAGTGTAGTCTTTAATCCCAGCCCTTGGGAGGCAGAGGCAGGCAGATCTCTGTGAGTTCGAAATCAGCCTGGTCTACAACAGCGAGTTCCAGGACAGGCTCCAAAGCTACATGGGGAAACTCTGCCTCAAAAAAAAAAAAGTTAACTTAAAGCAGTGTTAAAAGTAAAATATTTGTGAAAAACAATACAGGCATGGGTTGAAAAGATGACTCTGAACAAACGTTTGCTGCACAGGCCTGGCCTCCTGAGTTCAGGCCTCAGAAAGTGGATGAGGTGGGATGTAGTCTGTAATCCTGTAATCCCAGAATTCCTGCAGTGAAATGGGAAGCAGAGACAGGAGAGCAGACCTGAGTACACACATAGTAGCAAATAGCAAGAGGCCCTGTCTCAAACATGGTGGAAAGCGAGGCCTGTTACCCTAGGTTGACCTCTGATTGCTACATATATACTAGAACACATTCACTTGTATACACACACATAAACTTGTACACACACACACTTTTTAAAATACAATCTACTGCAGTATAATCAGATTAAGTGTAACAATTTCTGCCAGTTAATATGTGCTACTGGTAAATAGCTACATGCATTGAACAAACTCGTTCTTTTCTTGCAGAGTATTATTGCAGCATCAGTGTCTTGTTTCATCATTGGCGGCGCCCATGAGGTGTTTATAGCAATCACAATTGAGGAAACCTGCATTGCCCTATTTTTTATCGTAATATATTTGGTCACCCTTCAACACATGCTGATCTGCGTACACTGGCCTTTGCTTGTAAGTGTTCATTTTCATAATTCAAATGTAAGCTTTGCCCATAACCCCAAGAGTAATCCTGCCCCCACTTTCCTCCAGGGAAGACAAAAGAGCTCTCTAGAACTGTGACAGGGTTGTCCTCCCAGGGGAGAAACCACCCAAAACCTGGAAAGGTCCCTTGGACTCCTCTGTCTTCAGGACAGCCTCCTGCTTTTAGCTGAGGGTGCAGAGTCCATCTCAAAGGGCTTGTCTGATTGAATACGTCATGTTTTCACCTTATCCTAATGAAGACTACAGCCTGTAAAATAGTGTATGCTCCTGCTTTTCAAAGAGTATCACCCACGTAGATTTACAACCCACCCCAACAAGAGTTGGCATAACAAGAGTGGTGGAAAATCTTCGGAAAAACTCTTATAGGTTGTAGGACGATCGTATTTGTGTAGGTTTAGGAGCTGCAACCTTGAAGGGTGTGGTATCCAATTGAGAATTCTTGAAGCTAGTCTTGGAGGCACCCAGCTCTCTGGAGAGGCAATATGGTTTTGTTCAGTGACCAACGTAAGTCCAGTCCCTTGCTAGCTCTGTGACCTTTATATTTTCAGGAAGCTACTGGGAGAGGGTGATACAAGGCTTTGCTATATAGAGCAAGTTAGACTTGAACTCACAAGCTAACTTAGGCTGATCTTAAAAATAACATCCTCCTTCCTTAGCCTCTTGAGTACTGGGATTACAAACATTTGTCATCAGACTCCTAAAACTCTGTAGCTTCCCCATCTAGGAAATGCAGAAACTGGGGGGGGGTGTAAGGAGGAGTCCCTACCTCATAGGTTTTCTGCAACATTGGAATGCATATAGAGATGGCGTAGTACTTAGCACCAAGTATACACTCAGCACACGGTATCCAGAAATGGAAAACAGGCTGGTATTTGGATAGCTTTGGCCGCTCTCTCTTGTACTGTGAACAGTCCTGACATGGTTCCTGGCTCTTCCACACCTCCCTCCCTTTGTTTATGTGGTAGTGGGAGTTGAATCTAAGGCCCGTGCAAGCACTCTAGCATTGAGCTCCTTTTCTCTCTCTTAAGATTCATGTCTCTGAGTATTTTGCTTACCTGTGTCAAAGAGCACTGTAAACATGTCTGGTGCCCATAGATGACAGGATAGGGTGTCTGATCCCAAAGAACTTTAATTATAGTGAGTTGTAAGTTACCACATGGATGCTGTGAACCCAACCCAGGTCCTCAGTGAAGAGCAGCAAGCGCTGTTTACTGCTGAACCATCTCTCCAGCCCCACACTTATATATATATATATATATATATATATATATATATATACATGTGTGTGTGTGTATTTATATATATAAAGTGGGAGTGACTCAGTAGGAGTGACTGCCATAAATACTTGGGTACCGTGCCAAGACCTTATTTTAACAAACCAAATGACTCTTTCGAAGGGTTTTAACTTTTTATTTTATTTATGTGTATCATGGTGGGGAAGTAGGTGCACAAGTGTGTGTCCAGGGAGACCAGAGGAGGGTGCTGGACCCCCTGGAGCCATTGTGAGCTGCCCAACATGGGTTCTGGGAACTGAACTCAGGTATTCTGCTGAGTCACCTCTTTAGTCCCCAAGATTTTAAGAAGAAATAGAAGAAAAGCTAAAGAGAGCCATGAGACACCATGCCCCACTATAAGGTATACAGGAAATATCCAGGAAGTAACCCAGACAGGCTGGCTAGCAGGCAGCTCTTGAGTAAGAGCTGCTCACGAGAGGACCTCTGCTCATAGTGGTCACAGGAAGCTTGGACTAACTCTTACACTCATAGGCTTTTGATCAACTTCAGTAGAGTCAACTCTTTTTTTTTTCCGGTTTTACGAGACAGGGTTTCTCTGTATTATTTTGGAGGCTGTCGGTCCAGCCTAGCCTCGAACTCACAGAGATCCGCCTGCCTCTGCCTCCCGAGTGCTGGTTGAAGTTGTTTTTAACCCTTCAAATAGAACCCAAATTCTTGCCTCTTATCCTCTATCTTCCTTTCTAGTCTTGCCCTTTTGGTTTCCACAAGATGAAGGACATGGCACTTTGATGCAACCAGCTGCCATTGGGTAGTAACGGGGGGAGGCCCGGGTCCAGCAAGAAATGTTCCACTTTAGTGAGGGTGCTCGGTGAAGACCAACGTGGCAGCAGGAGTCGTGTCACAAAACAGGTGGGAGGACCACCAGAATTGTTGGACTCTGCACAGTCTAGAGGCACCAGGGTGCATGGAGTCACTTCCTCCCAGCCTTTCTTTCCAGACAAACTTACTTGGTTCTTAAAATGTATAGGATGGAGATAAGTGGTGATTTCTAATTTAAAGGCCCATACAAGCATAAAATCACTCACCTCCCATTCTTATTCTTGTTTGACAATGAGCTGGGGGTGGGTCTAGAGATGTAGCTCAGTCAGGATAGGCTTGCCTGGCATGCACAAGGCCTTTGGTTTGATCTCCAGCACTACATAAACTTGGTGTGGTGGCATACACCTGTCATCCCAGCACTCAGGAAGCAGGGGGGTCAGAAGTTCAAATACCACCGGGCGGTGGTAGCACATGCCTTTAATGCCAGCCCTTTGGAGGCAGAGGCAGGCGGATCTCTGTGAGTTTGAGGTCAGCCTGGTCTACAGAGCCAGTTCCAGGACAGGCTCCAAAACTGCAGAGAAACCCTGTCTCAAAAAACCAAACCTAACTAAACAAACAAAAAAAGTTCAGATACCAAGACCAATGACTCATGTACCTCAGCTACATGAGTCACAGACTGGGAGAAAAAAAAAAACCAAGATGAAGGTCACCACTCATTGGGGACACAGAATGGCTAATACATCAGGCCTTAGCTCCCACCTGATCCCCCCTCCCCCACACACACACCTTCGGTCAGCTTCAATGAGGATTATTTCAGACTATTATTCAGATTGTCAGAGAAGGCCTTTTACTTATGGTAAAAAGATGTGGAGGCAAAAAAAAAAGAATGTAAAAAGAGAAGAAAGAAAAGAAAAGGAGGGAAGGAAAGAAAAAGAGAAAGAAAGATGACCGTGGACATCACACTGCTGAGAGTTCTAGCCACTGCCTGGGTGAACAATCCTTCAGCAAGTTACCAAAAACTGGGGATAGGAAGAGTCTTTTGTGAGAACTGATTGAGTTCTCGTATTAATACCTTGGCCCGGTACATGACACACTGTAAGTGCTCAATAAATGTGTGGTGGCAGAAGAGGCAGGCCAAGCACAGCTCCTGGGGACAGCTCAGGAGCCAGCGCCAAGCACGGTGAGCAGTGTTCTAATGCAGTAAGATCAGGACAGTACCAAAGACTAACTTGATCTATTCATTACTGTATTGTTATTAATATGCTGTGGTCCAAACTCTCTATGATCTAGCTCATTTTGGCTTCTAACAGCTATCATTGTTTTCATTTTGGTTGTTTTTGTTTTTGTTTTTGTTTGGGAAGGGTTGATTTTTTTTTCTTTTTTAGGCAGAGTCTCACTCTGTAACCCAGGCTGGCCTTTAAAGTGAAGTGATCCTCCTACCTCAGCCTCCTGTTTCTCAAATTCTCATTCACATCCCTGAGAATCTTGTTTTACACAATCATCAGGTACAAAGTTTCCCATATAGCTTTGACCTCCTCTCTAACCTCAGCTGGCCTCCCCACAGTGGTCAGACCTCTCTTTGAGTCAGCAGAAGCCAGCTCACACGTATCCCTCAGCAGTCTTGAGCTGTGGCCTCATGCCAATGCTGACCAACAGTAAAGACGTCAGTGCCTTACCGGAGGCACAGTATGTAATGTTCCAGATTCAGTGCCGTCTAATCCTCAGATCAATGCAATCAATCCTAATCATGATCCCCATATTAAAAAATCAGCAGGCTGAGCCGGGCGGCGGTGGCACACGCCTTTAATCCCAGCACTCGGGAGGCAGAGGCAGGCGAATCTCTGTGAGTTCGAGGCCAGGCTGGACCGACAGCCTCCAAAACAATACAGAGAAACCTTGTCTCATAAAACCAAAAAAAAAAAAATTAGCAGGCTGGTAGTGGGGCAATTAAAAAAAAAAGACCCCAGGTCCCATATCCAAGAATTGACAATCAAAGACCTCAGTAACAAATACACTGTGAACTTATTTATTTCACACCATGTGAACTCTCCAGAAACCTTCCACAGACAATGATGGAAATGGATTGGATGCTGCACTTGCTGTCTAAGGTAACAGACAGCTCATAACTTCTTTGCTGTGCATGCTCCTGTGTGAGTCCATAATGAGATGAGTTCTGATTCCTCTTCTTAGTAGTTGTTCAATCTGAAACAACTCAGCAAACTTCTCTAAGATAGCTACTGCATTCTCTGTGGAACAGCAAGTCTTTCAAGAGCTTCTTTGAGACAGTGAAACAAGGTAGTCTAGGAATTGCTTAGCATGTTGAAGGCAGCCGTTAAGGGCATCCCAGTTGCCTACACTAAATCACCAGGCTTCTGTCTACATTTAGGCTCATACCCCAGATGGGCCACCACCACCAGTTAAGCCATCAAAAATGTGGTGATGAGATAGTTCATTTGGTAAAGTGATAGCCTTGCAAGCATGAGGACCTGAGTTCAATCCCCAGAACCCATGGGGAAAAAAAACAAAAAACAGGCAAACTTGTAATCTCTGAATTGGGGAGACAGACATGAGAAGATCCTTGGGCACTCTGATCAGATGGTCTGGCCTACTTGAAAAAGTGAGGACTAGAGAGATGGCTGAGGGGACCTGCCACCAATCCTAATGACCTGAATTCAATCCCTGGGGCTCACGAGATGGGAAGAGAAAACCAACTGCCAAAAGTTGTCCTCTGACCTCAGTATACATGTGTGTCATATACATCCATTCCAAACCACACACACAGACACACAGACACACTGACACACAATAAATACAATGTAATTAAAGATAAAAAAATATAAGACAGACAGCTCCTGAGGAACGACACCCAAGGTTGTCCTCTAGCACACGTATGTGGGTCAGGGACACACACACACATCCACACACCCCACTTAGAATGCTCCAATTATGTATCTGGGTCAAATCATATTGTTCTTTTTACCCCAGGCTTTGGCCCCACCCACACACTGGTACAACTAATCCATCACTGCTCTACCATCAAAGTGTAGTGTCCCACTCTAGGAGAAACCCCTCCCATCAATGCTCACCCTTCCAGTATACAAACAGGCAGGCTGACCTGTAGTTGAAAGGCCTACAACCAAAACCCAGAACAAAGGACGTAAGAACTTGAAGACGTCAGGCTGATTTAATTCTGGTCTTGCCTCAGACTCAATTTTCTGGAATGAATGGCTGTGTTCTTCAGGTGGATTTGTGTGTTCCCAGCACACATGACCTCACAAAAAATACAACCCAACTTCCAGAGCATTAGTTTTTACCTGTGGATTTAGAAGATGTATTAAGAGAATGAGCTACTAATACAAAATGTATCACCCAAACTCTTATATTTACATATTTTAAAATAAATAAGTTATGGGATAAAATGAAGGATTCATATTAAAATATAAAACTTTTAAAAAGTAATGTTATAGAGGGTCAATTTTGGCCACCCTAGACCACAGAATCTAGAATTGCTGTACGCTTTAAGAAAACCCAGTTGAAGGGGATGGAGAATGGCTCAGTAGTTAAGAGTGGGTACTGCTCCCACAGAGGACCCAAATTCAGTTCCTAGACCCACATAGGACAGCTCACCAGCTCACAACCACCTGGAGATCTGGCTCTAAAGGATCCAACACCTTCTTCTGGACTCTGGGGGTACCTACAATCACTTGTGAGCATACCCATATACAGTCTCTCTCTCTCTCTCTCTCTCTCTCTCTCTCTCTCTCTCTCTCTCTCTCTCTCTCTCTGTCTCTCTCTCCCCCACATATATGTGTATCTGGGGGTACCTACAATCACTTGTGAGCATACCCATATACAGTCTCTCTCTCTCTCTCTCTCTCTCTCTCTCTCTCTCTCTGTCTCTCTCTCTGTCTCTCTCTCCCCCACATATATGTATATATATGTGTGTGTGTGTACTTATATACAAAGAAAAGCCAATGAAAATGTTAACATCCCTAATGATGTTCTAACAAAATCAAACTCCTATCCAAGACTTTAAAATCACATAAATTCAAATCCCTGAAAAATTTCAGAGGTTTGAAGGTCTCAGTCAATCAAAGAGAAAGGATTCAAAAGGTATCCACCCTTATATGGGTAAATGACCAGTTTAAATATTTTGAAATACCATTCTCATTTACAGTTGACCAATTTCAACTCTGCATTGCAGGATCTTATCAACAGTTTCTTTTCAACTGTGTTCCTTGGAGGAGTTGCCCTGATAACAATTCAAGAAAGAGAAAAAAACCGTTTGTGCTTTATTGGAGGGGTAAGTAGAGGCCTCCATGGTTCTATTTAAGATTAATAGTCGGGGGCCAGCGAGATGGCTCACTGGGTAAAGGCACCTACCACCAACGTACAGCAAATCTGAGTCCTACACAAAAGGAGAGATGGACACACAAGTTGTACTCCAACCTCCACAAATGCAACAGAGTATACATGTGCATATACAGAAACACACAACAGAGTACACATGTGCATATACATAAGCACACAAATAAAGTAATGTAAACATTTTTAATTAAAAATAATATAGCCTGGCAATGGTAGTGCACGGCATTAATCCAAGCACCGAGAAAGCAAAGGCAGGCAGATCTATGTGAGTTCAAAGCCAGCCTAGTCTACAAAAAACAAAAAAACAAAAAGAGTACATCAGGACCCTGAAAAAGGAATGCCATCAGGATGTCATTAACATTAACAAAGCAGAGAAGACTTATTCTTAATTGTGTGTGTGTGTGTGTGTGTGTGTGTGTGTGTGTGTAGGTAAGTGTACACCCATTCAAATAGTTGTGGAGGTCAGAAAAGGACATTGGATTCCCTGAAATTGGAGTTAAAGACAACTGTGAGCCTTTACAAGAGTCCTGGGAATCAAACATGGGTCATCTACAATGGCAGCAAATGATCTCAAACAATGAGCCATCTCTTGAGAACCCTTCTCTTTCTTGTAGTAATGTCTTCAAATGTCAAGTTGCCCAAACCAGGAACTCATGAAACTCACAAAACACCAAATAAGTTTTTAAGTCTACAGAAGAACTTTTGAAAACCATATACATTACATGTAAAACACAGCAAGAAGTAAACCCTTATAAATATGTGTCTTAGCCTTCAATTCCATGACCAAGGAAACCTATAAAAGAGAGCAGTTCAGTGGGGGCTGGCTTACATTTGCAGAGGATCAGTCCATGAATATCATGTCTGGGAGCATAGCAGTGGGTAGACAGCCTGGGGCTGGGGCAGTAGCTGAGAGCTCACATCACAGGCAGCAGGGAGAGAGTGAGCCTGGGCCTGCCTTGGACTTTTGAAACCTCAAAGCCCTCCCCCAATGACAGACCTCTTCCAACAAGGTCACACCTAACCCTTTTTAAACAGTTCACCAACTGAGAACCAAACAGTAAAATACATACCTTATCTTATAGAGGCTCTACTGATTCAAAACACCACACTCTGACTTTGTTTTTCTGGGCTAGACAGCTATATTAAACACAGGTATGAATGGGGGAGCTGTCAGAATTGAGTAACTTAGCTTGTCTAAGGAGGAAGGGATCCTGCCTACATTGAAGTACTAAGTGTGTGCCCTGCACAGGGTAAGCACCTCCTAAATCTTATTATTTTATAAAAAGGTCTCAAACCCAGGGCAGTCTCTAATTTGCTCCGTGGTTGAGGATAAACTGGAACTGATTATCCAGCTTCTACACATTTCCCACTCCTGGGTTGTATTGCAGGCATGCATCACTACGCTTGGTTTATGCAGTGCTGGGGATCAAACCCAGGACCTTGTGCATGCCAGGCCAACACTATGCCAACTGCACCACTTCCCTGGTCCCTTATGTAATCATTAAATTTTCAGGTTTATAGACACCTAGGTATGTTCTTAGAATGAGGTTAAATACTTTGTCCTGGGTCACAAAGCTTAGATACACTGAACATAAATGCATATCAAATAGAAGAATGTAAGAAATAACCAATCAAATGTTTGAAGAACAGGAAGAGTAAGGAACTGGGACTTGGTTTAATAGTGTGGACAGAAATGAACCAAAAACAGAAAATAGATTAAGTCAAAGGTGGTGTCTCAGTGGTAATTGCCACTAAGTATGATGGCCTGAGATCAAGTCCTCGACTCCACACAGTGGAGAAAAAACTGATTCCTTCATGTTGTCTGAAGCCTCCAAACACATGCTGGTGCATGCACAGGCCTACAGACACACACACACACACACACACACACACACACACACACACACACACGAGAAAGAAATGTAGAAACTTTAAAAAAGAGTTTAAATTCTTTAAGTTCATTCCATAATTGGTAAATATTTGTCAATGCCACTGCATTGTGCCAAGCTGGAGTTGGCCAGTGGGAGCAGAGCCCTTTCCCCTGAGAAACTCAAACAGGGGCTGAACAAGGCCTCCTAAGAAACTGTCATCAAGATGCCCACAAAGAGAAACATCCATGCATGGGATATCAGGTGCTATCATTCCTGGTCCCAGTCTGGCAACTCATCAATTGAGCTTTGTACTGCCACGGTCACCAAACACCTCCTGCCTCCATTTCTTCCTGCCTGTGCTGACATCATTCCATGTCTTCCTGCCTATCCAGGTTCTCTCTCCCTTCATAGCCACTGCAGGAGGATTTTCTGAATCTTAAACCTGTCCCCTCCTCAGAGAGCTCCAGAACATTCACCACCCAGGCTCAACTCTCCAGGCACTCAAAACTGCAAAGGTCATTATCGAAAGCTGTGACCCTTAGATAGGGCTCCTCATGTTGTGGTGACACCCAAACCTAAAATAACTTTCTTTGCTATGACGTAACTGTAATTTTGCTATCATTAGGAATCGAAATGTAAATACCTGGTTTTCCGTTGGTCTCAGGTAACCCCTTGAAAGGGCCAGTGGGCCCAAGGGTGACGACTTGTATGTTGAGAACCACAGTGCAGTAGATAGTCGTATGACCAGGTCACTGTGGGCTGCAAACGTCACTGTTTCCCTTCCTCTTAGAAAGACAAACCTGGCCTACAGCAGCCGGAAAGGGACTGGTTGCAGCTCTCGACCCCGTCGTCGGAGAGGAATAGGAATGAGAGACAGATGCTGAGCTGGTTATACAGTAATCTTTCCTTCCCACCTGTCTTGTTGTCTGACAGACCCTGTGCGCCACGGCAGCAGTCCTGTGTATCATCGATATGCTGTTGGTCATCAAGAAGATGGTGACTGACAAGAAAAAGGGCCAGGAAATGTAAACTAAGCCCTCCACCTCAACAGCAAGGCAGGAACTATGCTGAAGTCACCTAACTCTTCCCAGCATTTGGCAGAGGCTTATGTCCACGTATAATCATTCCCACCAGACCATCACGGAGCTCCCAAGCCCACCTGTGTGTGACCATAAAGACAGGGCTGCTAAGTTGCCAACTCTCCTACTTCCTCGTGTGGCCTTATGTAAAAGTCGCATTACACTTCCACTCCTCCACAAGGCTGCCCCCCAGAAGGATGGGAGGGACAGGACCCCAGGGAGCTACAGCCACAAACCTGCAACTCCTTTGCAAGGAAAGCCCCTCTAGGACCAGTGGGGCTCAGCGCATGGGGCCGCGTGGAGGGTGGGAATGCCTGGCCTCTGCCAGGATGGAAGCGATCCAGGTGGTCCACGCGATGAGATGTGCTCGCGCTGAGCAAGCATAAGCGTTGGAATCCTGCAGTCGCAGCGGTCGGTTGAGCGCTGCCCTTGAACAGGTCTGAAGACACCAGGCTCTCTCTTGAGCTGGGCCTGTTCGGGGACTGCAGGAGAGGCTGGGAGGTGAGAAATTGAGAACTGCTGCTAACCATGGCAGCACCTCCGCCTGGCCAGGAAGATGCCCAGAAGTACAAATCATTACAGCCCAAGGATGATGTGGGAACAAGAAAAGGGTTTCGACGCTACAGGTGGGAATTCAAAGACAGCAATAAAGAATTCTGGGTGAATGGACACGCCGAGGTCAAGCTGCTGACTGTGGTAAGCTGAATTGGAAGTCTAGGGGTGCCTGTGGAGGGGAGGGCCTCAGAAGTCGGGAGGGCCCTTGCAGCAGCTCAAATGTATGTATGTTTCCGCCCAGGCCTGCATCATCGCTGGACTACAACTCTTCGAAACAGTGGCCACACACCCGATTCTGATCCTGCTCCTCACTATGGAATTGTCCTTCATCGCTTTCTTCGTCTTCCTTAACTCCTTCGCCATTAACAGATACATGACGTTTGTCTACTGGCCTATCACTGTAAGTAAAGACAGGAAAGGAAGTGCCAGTCACATTCAGGCACCTGGCAAAAGACAACCTCACCTCCACTGGTGCTCATGCTGGGAAGCTGGGTTGGAGGAGGGAAGCCAGGCAGAAAATGCTCCACCAAAACCTAACAGTGTTGAGTCAAAGAAAGAGGGACCAAAGCTCTCCTATCCTCAGAAACAGGGAAGGTTGTAACAACCAGGCATTTCTGCTAACAGCTTTGCTGGCATACATCTCATTGGAATATCATTCCAGGATTCAATAAAGAAAATCAAATTGTGCATAAAACAGTAAGATAAAGTGAAGCAAATGGCAAGCATTTCTAAAACAATGTCATGTCTCTAATGAACATAAAGAATGATACAGGAGCGTGGTGCACCAGAAAGAGTCGCACAAGGGAGTGAGGCTGATCTGGGTAAGTCCCTCAAGCATCCATTCCTCTGGTCCCTTATCTGCACCTCAGGGACTGCAACAACCTGTAGTGAGAATGACTACATTTAAACTTCTTGCCATCACACTTCATCATAGACAGCAGTCAGGAGAGGAAGGTAAGTAGAGCATGAACTTGGAGGCAGGAGCTGATGCAGAGGTCATGAAGGACTGCCAGTTCTGTCTTGTTCCTCATGCTTTTCTCAACCTGCTCTCATAGAACCCAGGAACACAAAGCCAGGGACTGAAGAACCCATAATGGACTGGGCCCTTCCTCATCAATCACTGAATGCCCTACAACTGGATCTTATGGAGACATTTTTTCCATTGAGGCTCCCTCTCTGATGACTCTAGTTCATGCCAAATTGACATAAAACTAGCACAAGGCCTTAAGCCAAAGCCAAACAGAGGCTTAGGAAATGAAGCCAGCATCCTGAGGATACTACATCCATAGAGGAAAATGGAGAAGGAAGACATACACACTTTGCCAGCACAAAGAATCAAGACACATTGATCTGTACTTGACCTGTGGGGGTGGGGAGGGAAGGGGCAGGTGTTCTTTGAGAATGGGAACGCACTGCCTAGAACCTAGAAAACTCATGTCTTGTGCTGATGATGTTCTAATTACATCCTCTTAACTCATAGCAGAAATAAATGCAGAACCAAAGCCAAAGCACGAAGAGATTTGTGATACACTTGGTCTTTAAAAATGCTACAAACTAAAAATCAAAACTTGGCAAACATGGTTGGTGTTTCAGTAGCATATGTCTGTAATCCTGACACTCAGAAGCCAAATCAGGAAGACTGAGTTCAAGGACATCCTGGACTCATAGCAAAAATTCTGTATCAAAAATAAATAAATGACACAAGCTGGAAGATTACAATCCTGAGACTCAGAGAGCTTAGATGTACTGAGATGTGAGAAAATAGTCAATGGTGTTTAAATGACATCAAACAAAAATAAGATTATAGCACCCAACAGTGGTGACACACTTTTAATCCCAGCACTTCAGCAGCAGAGTCAGGCAGATTTCTAAGTTAAGGCCAGCCTAGACATCAGAGCCCCTTCCAGGACAACAAGACTACATAGATAAACTCTGTATATTAAAACAAACAACAAAGAATATAGAGACAGAAAAAACAATATTTTAAAATGCATAGTTTAATGCCTATAATATAAAATTTAATTCTTGAAAAAAATGGGAGCAGATGAGTTAAAAAACAGATCAGGGCCAGTGAGGTGGCACACATCTGTCACCCCAGCACTCAGGAGGCTGAGGTAGGGGGCTCAGGAATTCAAGGCCAGCCTGTGCTACAGAGTGAGTCTGAGGTCACCCTGACACAAAGCAAGAGCTTCTCTACACACACACACACACACACACACACACACACACACACACACACACACACACACACACTGTGAGTGCGTTAGAATGTCTCTAGAGAGATTAGGTCTTCTGTGACATGATTTTCAGAGGATCTGGCCCTCTTCTGGCCTCCACTCACACCAGACACACATAAGATACACAAATATACATACATGCAAAACATTCATACATATAAAATAAACAGAATGAGTGACCAGATCTGACACAGCTAGAGAGAATTAATGACTTGAAAGGTATGGGAAAATTAGCTAGAACTAGTCCTGAAAGATAAAAAGAAGAAATATGAAAGAGAAAATGAGGCACAGAATACAAAATCAGAATTCCATGCAAGAGAATGGTGAAGAAACTCTTAAAGTGATAAAGTCTTTTTGTTGGGCTTTTGATTTGTTTATCTGTGTACCCTGACTGTCCTGGAACTCACTCTACAGACCAGACTAGCCTCAGACTCAGAGATCTGCCTGCCTCTGCCTTCTGAGTGCTGGGATTAAATGCATGCACCACCAACGCTGTCCAAGAGAATGTTGACTGAAGAAAGAAAGTGATAAATCATAGTGAGAGAGCATTATAGCTTATCAGGCAGCTAAATAATTCAGGTTCAAATTCACATCCTAAGAAATGACTGAAAATAAATGAAGCATCTGCCACCAGATGTGGTGATTCTAACATTTGGAAGGTTGAGGCAAGAGATCAGAAACTCAAAACCAGCCTCAGCTACATAGCAAGTATGTGGCCAGGTTAGGCTATACTGTTTGTTACTGGTGGTGGTCTGGTAAGGTGTTTTTCCATCCTTGGCCTTCTATTCAAGTCCACAGAGACCATAAAGTAAGCAGTAATCTCTACAAAGTGCAACCATGGAACTGGTAGCTACACTTTCAAGATTGACAGCAGCTACTGAGTGAAGGCAATCAAGGGACCCAGTTATTGCTTGGGGCTTCCTTCAGTCATTGTTTGGGACTTCCTTTATGCAGTTCAAGTAAGGTAGGCGCTTGGTTACAAAAGATTTAATTTGGGTGATTCTCTTTTAAAACTAATAATCTTGGACTATGTAAGCCCTTGCTCGTAAGGCATGTCCCTTCCCATAATACATCTGATTTTAATTATATGCAACCCCAATTATGCATATGCATAAAATGGTGAGTAGGGAATTATTCCTAAAATTTCTCTTGAAAACACAGTTTTGGCTTATTGCACATACACACACACACACACACACACAGAGAGAGAGAGAGAGAGAGAGAGAGAGAGAGAGAGAGAGAGAGAGAGAGAGAGAGAGAGAGAGAGAGAGAGAGAAGAGAGATTAGACCAGATCAGCCTTCCTATCTTGCATATCCCTCTCCAGAGTACTGAATAAATTTGAGTAGAAATTGTTTAAGTCATGAAGAGGAGGAGAAACTTAGTACACTAGCAGTTTGATGCAGGTGGGCTCCTAGGTGGATTACAGGTTATTAGGTGCATTGGTCAGAGAGGACTGTATATACATAGTACATGCAACAGCATGCCCTAGAATGTGAAACACATTGTTAGAAGAGGGATTTAGGTGCTAGAGAGATGCTTCAGTGGTTAAGAGCACTGGCTGATCTTTCAGAGGACCTGGCTTCAATTCCCAACACCTACATGGCAGGCGGTTTACAACTCTAGTTCCAGGATTCTAACACAATTTTCTTGACTCCACAGGCACCAGGCACACATGTACACAGGCATACACATAGGCACAGCATACACCTAAAACACAATGATAATTTTATTAAAAAAATAGGAACATATACATAGCATTCTCAGGTTGCTAAACTATTCCCTATGGTTGTCTGTCCCAACATGATACCTTATCTCACAAGGAAATATGTCTAGTGTATACATAAAGGAAATACCAAAATCAGAAAATTTCTGAGACACGAGACACTGGATCTGAGAATGTATTTCTTGGTAGAGAGCTTGCCTAGCATGGGCAAAGTTCTGGGTTTGATCCTAAGCACTGCTTAAACTGCCTGTAGTTGTGTATTTCTGTAACCATAGCACTCATAAATGGAAGCCAGAAAATCAAAAATCAAGATAATTTTTGTCTACACAATGATTTTTGAGGCTATCAGTGGATATGTGATACCCCATCTGGAACAAAACAATAAATATAAGCAAAACAACAGGTTACCCTAAAATTGATAACAGAGGGAACAAACATCAACTGTGAGAATTAAGAAAATAAAAATTTCCAGATGTGGTGGCCCACACCTTTAATTACAGAACTCAGGAAGTAGAGGCAAATGGATCAACCTGGCCTCCATAGTGAGTCCCAGAACAACCAGGCTATATAGAAAGACACTGTCAAAAAAGAAGGAAGAGGAGGAGGAGGAAGAGACCAAAAATCAATTTCCTTGGTGAGGGGAGAATAAAATAGACAACCCATAAAAAGGAAAAAACAAAGAAAAATAGTACAAATATTTAAAAAAAAAGAGTTGTAGACGATCCTGAGGAAAACATGAGCTTTAATGCTAAATTTAGGAAAGTTAAGATGAAATTGTTTACTAGGAAAATATTTTTAAGAGTTCAAATAAAAATGAAGGCTAATAAGTACACAGATGAATGACTTATCTGCTCACACCATTTGGTAACTTCATTATTTGTTGCATTTAAGTCATTTGATCCATTTGAGTGACTTGGAGGTACACTGAATCAAGGCTTCTACCTCATTATCATAGCCATTCATTAAATAATTTTCAATACCATAACACCCTGTTTATTCTTTTATTGATTAGTTCGTTTTTACACTCTTTTGAAATGAAATTTTTGTTGTCAAATCTATAAAGTCCCATGTGTAAAATTCATTTCTAGTCTTTCCATTCCACTGCTCTCATTTTCCCTTTTCTGTCTTTTTTAAGGTTGTATAATATTTTCTGTTAGGGATTCTTTTTGAAATCAGATGTTAGATTAAGAATACATGTGGGTAGTAGTGGCACATGCCTTTCATCCTAGAGGCAGGTGGATCTTTATGAGTTCGATCCTAGCTGTCTCTACAAAGTGACTTCCATGACAGCCAGGGGTACACAGACAAATCCTGTCATGTAAAAAAATTATAACAGCAACAACAAAGAATAATCATAGGCCTTCCTTACTTTGAAAATGTGGACTAGGTCGGGTTGTAGTAGTGTTTGCCTTTAATCCCAGCACTTGGGAGTCAGAGGGAGGAGAATCTCTGTGAGTTAGAGGCAAGCTTGATCTATACAATGAGTTCTGGAACAGCCAGAGTTACACTCAGAGAAACCCTGTCTCAAAAACCAAGAAAAAAGATAAAGAAAATAGAGACTAAAATGTTCAATAAAATATTAGCACACCAAATCAGGCAATGTGTTAGAAGCAATGTATCACAGTGGAGCAGCATTTATGTCAGGAACACTAATATGTTTTTTTGTCTTCAAATTCTATTAATTCAGTTTTACTCTATTGTATTTACAGCAAAAAATAAATGTTGTAGGTTGCAGAAAAAGTATTTGGTAACGATCAACACTAATTTAAAAAATTAAGAAACTAGGCACAAAGGACACATTCAGTCTTAATAAGAGGAATCTACCCAAATCTTCAACATAGATTGCATCTTTTGGTGAAGGCTTTATTTGGAAATCCTGCTCATTCTTTAATCTTTTTTTTAAGATTTTTTATTGATTATGTATACAGTGTTCTGCCTGAATGACAGAAGAGGGCACCAGATCTCATTATAGATGGTTGTGAGTCAACATGTAGTTGCTGGGAATTGAACTTGGGAGCTCTGGAAGAGCAGTCAGTGCTCTTAACCTCTGAGCCATCTCTCCAGCCCCTTCTTGTATCTTTTAAGCTGAAATATGAGTAAAGTGTGACAAGAAAACCCAGGTGTGTACAGATTGGGATGGGGAAACAAGGATTGTTCCTATATAACATGAGCCTCCTCACAGAAGACTCTGCAGCCCATAGGGCTGAATGAGTGATTAAGGTTCCTAGAGACCAAACACCCATGCTCCCCATGGCAGCAGAGATCAGTGAAAATGTGGCCTTAGAACGATGTGGAGGCTACCAGGTGTCTAAGAATAAACCTACTGAAAGACAAGCTAAACTGGTTAATGGAAATCAAAGGAAAATCTAAATGAATATTTGCTGTATTTCTAGGTATGATATTTATTACCATAGATATGGCAGTTCAATTCAGAACTGAGTTCTGAATCTACAAATGGCATTGCGTGGGAACAGGACTTTCTATGGGATTTTACAAGGTGATATAAAATTCTTTGGTCAGTAGTGACTGCAGAGACTTTGTAACCAATCAAAGTACTGGGAATAAATGACTCTTGGACACTCAGATACGAATGGCACTTCCTACATCCCCCTTCACCAAGGCTCTGGAAACATTTTCCAATGGGTGATCTCTTGCTTCTAGACATGATAGAATTGGCTGTTACACTCTTGAACTCACAACAGCTGTGATTATACAAATAAGATTTGGCTCATTAACTCCCTTTCTGAAAGGTATAGAGGCCCATGTCCTCTGACCAATGATTTACATGTAGTCAAAGACTTGTGCAGGCGCCGGGCGTTGGTGGCGCACGCCTTTAATCCCAGCACTCGGGAGGCAGAGGCAGGTGGATCTCTGTGAGTTCGAGGCCAGGCTGGACCGACAGCCTCCAAAACAGAGAAACCCTGTCTCGTAAAAACCAAAAAAAAAAAAAAAAAAAAAAAAAAGACTTGTGCAGAAAAGACAGTTTTTTTTCAGTAGTTTAGCCACTGGTAAGGTTCCTGTACTTTGTATACAAATCCTCACCATGCTCCCCAAAATGACCACACTGGAACACAAAACACACACACACACACACACACACACACAGAGAGAGAGAGAGAGAGAGAGAGAGAGAGAGAGAGAGAGAGGTGACAAAGACAGGGAGAAGAAGATAATGTGATTGATCACTTTATATACATGTATAAAAATATAATGAGGGGGCTGGAGAGATGCCTTAGTGGTTAAGAGCACTGAATGTTCTTCCAGAGTACCCAGGTTCAATTCCCTGCACCTACATGGCAGCTAAAACTGTAACTCCAAGATCTGACACCCTCACACAGACATGAATGCAGGCAAAACACCAAAGCGGATATAATAAAAAATAAATAAATTATTAAATACAATATAATGAACCCATTATTATGTGTAACAAACATGAGCAAATAAAAACATTACAAATAAAATTCTTTGGAAAAAAGTACAAGAATGGATTTGCCTAAGTAGATACCAGATATACCCTAAATTTTGGTACTAGACTATGGATTAACTAAAGGAATTGTTACAAATGGAATGTTTGTGTTCTCTATGCATTCATACTTGAGATGGGGCCTTTGAGGAAGCAACTGAGAAAACTTAAGGGTGGGACCTTGATCCAAAACCACTAGCAGCATTAAAGGAAGAGACAGATCATATAGCCTGGTTCCAATGAAGGCCATATGAAGATAGACATGGAAGGGCAGGTGTCTACTGCCAGGGAGAGTGCTTTGGTACCTTGCTCTTGGTCTTGCAACCCCCTGTGAAAGGATAAGTACTTGTTGTTTAAGCCACACAGCCTATTGTATTTTATAATGGTGTGCTAAAGTAGGAGATCAGAAAATTCAGACATATGCATACTGTAACTTGTATATGACAGAGGTAGCATTGAAAACACTGGGATGTCAGCTGGAGTTTTGGCTGAACAGTCAACAGCTCTGGCTGCTCCTGTAGAGGACCCAGTGTAGCACAATAAATGAAAGACCCAGAAAGTGGCATTGGGTTTCAAGATTCAAACCAAAAATCAAAGAAGCAAAGCAGCCAGCCACTAAAGAGTTCTCACCTTTACCAAGGCTCAGCCCAAAGGAGCGATCCTCAGACTGCTCCTGACTTCACTCCTCCTCAGATTCACTCAGACTTCCATGTTCTCCACATGGCTAGAGACCACTGAGACCAACTACTCAAGACCCTACCCCTGTCTTTTATACCTCTCTAGTTGCCCTTCTAGACTGATTCAATCTCCTGTAACACTGGGTAGCCTTGAATTCAGAGAGATCCGTCTACCTCTTCATCTGAGTCCTGGGATGAAAGGTTTGAAGAACACCGCCTGATCTCTGTGGCTTGAGGCTGTCTATGCTCTCCGAATCCTTTGGCAAGCTTTATTTAATCATAAAGAATATATCCCCACAACCCAGGTTGGGTTCCCAGCAACAAAGCATCCCACAAACTGTTGTTAACTCTAGTTCTCAGGAATCCAATGCCCTCTATGGTGTCCTTAGGCACTACAGCCATTTGGTGTGATTACATACATGCAGGAAACACACTCATACACATAAAATAAAAATAAACAAAACTTTTACATAAGACAGTTGGACAGAATATTAAATTACAGTACATGGGGATATTGACAGGAGAGATTGTACATCCCACTAAAATTAAAAACAATTTAAAATTTAGACATTCTAAGGAAAACAACTAATAGAAACTGGGACAACCGACAAAAAATATATAGGATTTGGGTTGCTTTTATGCCGTGTTGGGGAAAGAAAGCTTGTGTGTGGTAAAGGAAGGCCAAATCCCCAAGGAATGAAAAGAAAGGCATTGCTGAAGGAGGAGGCAATCAGGGAAGGAGGTCCAGGGGGTAAGGCGAGGTTGGGGTGAAGAAGGGAGCTACAGGCTCCCAATGTTAAGTCAGAGAGCAAGAACCTCCTACCTGCAGTTCTGCTGATGGAAACTCCAGAGAAGAGACGACAGAAATGAGGAGGGGAAGTAACTAACAGGTACCATGAAGTAGTCGGTCTCTGCATTGACTTACATGAATATTGATAGGCCCCAGACACCTGGTTTTGTAAGACAGATGGTATCTTGTGTCTTGCCTGAGCAAACGGCAGTGAAGTTTGGACTGTGTTCTACACACACAGAGGCCAGCAGGGAGGCACTGGTTGATCTGCTTGACCAGAAACATATTTGCCTTTGTATATTCTGTTTTAAATTATCCGGGGAGGGGGGCATTTGAACATGGTTTCATGGAGGAAACTGTGCTGTGTCTGGGGTGGATGGGCACAACTACCTAAGACCAGTTCTTCTCTTCTGCTTTCAGGAAATCTTCAACGACCTCTTCGCCTTCGGGTTCCTGGTGGGCGGCATAGTCTTTGCAATGAGGGCTAGAAGGACATTGCCCATGGCCTACTTAGCTGCTGTGGTGAGCTGTTTCTGTTGAGCTGTGGATTTCCTCAAATCACTGTTACATAAATCCTGGGATCAAGGCCTGCGTTGCCGCTGAGTCTCTGGAGGCCTGGTCTAGCCTGATCTAAGGCACTGTAAAAACCTACTGTAGTACCTCCTGCCTGTCTATAATGGTGGTACTCAGGAGGTAGAGGCAGAGGACCAAAGTCCAAAGTCATCCTTGGCTCGATAGTGAGTTCAAGGCTATCCTGGGGTACATGAGACAGACAAACAAAACTTGGGGTGGAAGCAAATTTACCAAGGAAGCTGGTAAATGTTTCTAATGGAGAAGACACGTTTTCAAAGATGGTGTCTAGGAAGGCAGCCAAGTTACCTGTGACTCTCATGTGTGTCAAATGAAAGGAAAGGGAAACAAGGTGAGGGGACACTGGGCATGCAGCCGAGGAGGGCAGACTGAGGGGGGTCTGGGATTGAGGCCTTCAGGGGTTCACTGTGTATCACATCTGACGATAGACCAGGAAGGGAATCTGCCCTTTCCTTCTAGGTCCATCATCAAAATAATGAAGATCCGTTTGTTTTCCTAGGTCCTTATGGGAGTTGCCGCCTTTTTTGCTATCGTTGACCTGTGTCTTCAAAGGAGACACCTCAAAGCCAAGAAGCTCAGAAAGCTCGCTCTGCTCGCTCCAGACAAGGAAGGGAGGATGCCAGACCCAAAGCTTCAAGCAATGCTGGAAGCTGCCAAAGAGGAAGAGGAAAGGCTACAGAAGGAGAAAGAACAGAAGGAGAAGGAGGAAAAGGAGAGACAAAAGAAACAGAAAGCAAAGAAGGAGAAGAAGAAGGCAAAAAAGGAGAAGAAGAAGAAGAAGTGAATAGACAGGACAGACGGGAACAGAGGGAACGCCGGGAACGGCGAGCTTTGTGGCCTGGCCTCTGTACTCTCTCCCCTTGCCGGCTTTCCAGCCTACTTTCCTTTGCCGTCAATAAACACCTCTTGGAAAGTAAATTTCTCTTTAAATGGATTTTATACTAGAAGTCGGACAATCTGTCCAGTGCTCTTCATCCCACAGAAGCTCCTAGAAATTTCAGTGCGGAGAACAAGGCCCCCCGAGGGATCTCGACCCACAGGCTGAGAACCACTGCCCTAGATGGTCTAGCCACCCTGGAAGGGAGTCATCCTCCTGAGGGAAAGTGAAGGCTCTAGCAGACATCTGAGGGAGGAGAGCTGTAAGGAGGAGCCTGGAGTCCTGAGCCTGAAATGGAGAAACAAACAAGTGGTGGTCTTCTGAGCGCGCGCAGACTTCTCGTCGCAGGCGTGCCTAGCACAGCAGTTAGCTCCGGGTCCTTGTCTCGGGAATTCAAAAAAAATGGAGTCCACAGACAGGGCTGAGCTTTGAAGGGGACTAGAGAGATGGCTCTGTGAGGAAAGCATCCTGCACTTAGAGAGGACCCCAGATAGGGTGGCTGACAACTGCCTGCAACCCAGCTCCACAATCCAAGGCCGCCTCAGGCCTCCACGTGCAGCTACACTCGATTCACATACCCCACCCAGGAAAGCGTACATACACACAATAAGCCTTTAACAAGACATAAAAGAGAAAGCTCACAGATCAGTCATGGAAGTGAGCACATGCCCCAGAAGCACTGCTTGCCACTAGGGAAGCCGTGCACAGGAAGGCTATGCAGTGTGTGATCGTTTGATGGCATTCTGACAATAAAGCTTGTTTCAAGTCAGAGGGTGGAGCTATCCACAAACTGACCTAAATTAACCGGAGAGGCTCTGGAGGACAGACAGGAGGCAGGAATATGAAGGTGCATCTGAGAGAGCACCTCAGTCCTGTTGGGTGGAGGAGTGGAAAAAGACAGGCGGTCACTGGTGGCTACTCTGCAGCTTCTCTGGTCAGTCAGGTTCTTACCCCTATATCTGACTCCCGATCTTTTATTGATAAAGAATAATTAGACAAACACATCTCCGGGCATCCAACTCAGAGCAGTAAATCACAAGGTAGCCACTCCCCCTGGCTTTGCAGTGAACACAGCCACAGCAGCTGGAGCAGCAGCTGGGCCTCAGGCTGGCTTCTCCTTTCTTGCCCCAAGCCCTCTGACTGAGTCTGGGATATTCCTGTGGTAGCCTCTCTACAACAGTCTCCAGCTGCTGTCCAAACTGCACAGGCCCCAAACCCCAGGGGTGCCTGGGCTCCCGAAGGCGTTAATCACCTGCAACTGGCTGGCTCTGCGTTCCTTCAGGCAGACCTGACGAGACTCCTGGGAGTTCTTAAAGAGGATTAGATTAGAAAGAGAAAAATAGGGATTTTTCCCACGTTAAAAAAAATAGGAAATAATATGATGCAGGCAGTCAGGTCTCTGTATAGTTCCACAATGGATGGTTTGAGAGTAGAACAGCTAAAAGAAAAAGAAAGAAAATGGAACAGTTAAATGAAGGGGTAATCATCTTAGCTGCGATTGAGATAATGCCAATTATTATCATTTTTCTAATTCTTGTTTCATCCCTAAAAAATGCTTGATATCATTGCCAAATATGAAAAAAATCGACTGATAAGATGAAATCCTTAGAAAGACACACTAATGAAACTAAGCAAAACATTCACACACCAACAGAGGAGCTTAAAGCTTTCCACACCATTGCATTATGAAACTGTGGAGGCTTAGCCAACGGTTATTAGAAAACCAACCTTAATTTAACCAGTTACCACTCAAGAACCACCACCAGATGACAAGCATCCCAAGGGTATTTAGAAGTTAACTGGGATCCTTCAGGAATGCTAGATTTGAAGTGATTGAAGGAAGCAATAGCTTCATATGGTATGCATTCATCATTTGTGAAGCAGATGTTAAACTCATGGGCCACTTTGAACAGAATTATTCCACAAGACCGGAAAGATTTAGTTATGATAGTATTAGGAGCTGGTCCTCAGTTACAGTGGAGAGACAAAGCTAGGATCATGGAACAAGACAGTAGGGTTAGTGGTTATGAGATTTCCCAAGATCAAATCCTCTGTGAGGATCATTATGCTGACGTGGAAAGACAGATTACATTTGACTATCACTCTGTGGCCCTATGCCATGCAATAGCTTAGAATGCTTGGAACAAGATGGAAGAATCTGGAAAGAGGCCTGAGCCATTAACTAAAATTATGTAAAGCCCAAAAGAATCTTTCATTGATTTTATACAAAGATTGATTTCAGTTGTCAATAGAATGATATCAGATCCAGAAGTCAGATGAATATTAATTGAATATTTGGCTTTTTATCATTATGAGTCAAATTTATTTATTTTTATAATTTTTATTTAACTTTTTACACATGTTACTCCCAGTTCCCTCTCCCTCCTCTCCTCCCTGCCCTCCAGCCCCCCAATCTCCCACTCCATCCCCGCTTCACTCCCCAGGAAGGGTAAGGCCTTCCATGAGGGATTTTCAGAGTATATCATATCATGCCAGGCAGGGCCTAGGTCCTCCCCCATGTGTCCAGTCTGAGAGAGCATCCCTCCATGTGGAATGGGCTCCCAAAGGCCATTTGTATGCCAGGAATAACTACTGATCTACTATCCAAGGTCCCATAGATTGCCGAGGCCTACTCTCTGACACCCAGGTTGGGGGGGTGGGGACAGGATGGATCAGTCCCATGCTGGTGTCTCAATTATCAGTCTGGGGTCCATGAGTTCCCCATTGTTTAGGTCAGCTGCCTCTGTGGGTTTCACTAGCCAGGTCTTGATTCCGTTGTTCATCCCTCGTCTTTGCAACTGGGTTCCAGGATTTCAGTTCCGTTTTTAGCTATGAGTGTCTGCCTCTGCTTCCTTCAGCCACTGGATGAGGGTTCTAGGATGACATATAAAGTAGTCATCAAACTCATTATCATGGGAGGGCATTTAAGGTAGCCTCAATGCCAGTTGGTATCATTCTTGTAGATCTCTGAAAATCTCTCTAGTGCCAGATCTGTCCTCCAACCTATAATGGCTCCCTCTACTGTGGTATCTCTCATCATTCTCTGTAGCAACCACCTCGACCAGCAAGGAAGATGCGACTCGGGAACTCTTCTCCAAGTGGTTTATTCAGGAACCTTGAAACAGTCTTCTTCTCCCCGGGGAAAGCCAGCCCACAGCTTATATGGCCTAGGCATAGCCAACCCCAGCATGCCACTTGGCGACAGAGGATAGGTCTACATACACGGAAGCAAACCATGGACCCGAGCCTTGACCAAATATGGAGTTGTTTACTCCGAGAGCGCTCACCGTCAGGAAGGTGGCAGGCAAAAGCCCGCACCATTTTTAATGTGCGTCACGTCGCAGCTCTCCATAATTCTCTCTGCTATTCTTACTCTGACTCAACCTTCCTGCTCCCCCGTGTCCTCCCCTCCTCTTCTTCCCCACTTTTTCTCCCATCTCCCTCTCCCTTCCCCCCATGCTCCCAATCCAATTAGGAGATCTCATCCCATTCCCCTTCCCCAGGTTACCATGCATATCTCTCTTAGGGTCCTCCCTGTTTCCCAGACTCTCTGGCGGTGGGATTGTAGGCTGGCAATCCCCTGCTCCATGTCTAAATTTCATATATGAATGAGTACATACCATGTTTGTCTTTTTGTGACTGGGTTACCTCACTCAGGATGGTTTCTTCTAGTACTGTCCATTTGCCTGCAAATTTCAAGATTCCATATTTTTTCCCACTGAGTAGTACTCCATTGTGTAGATGTACCACATTTTCTCTATCCACTCTTCAGTTGAGGGGCATCTAGGTTACTTCCAGGTTCTGGCTGTTACAAATAATTCTGCTATGAACATAGCTGAGCAGATGCCCTTATTTTATGAATGTACATCTTTTGGGTATATGTGTGGAATTGCTGGATCTTGTGGTAGACCGATTCTCATTTTCCTGAGGAATCTCCATACCAATCTTCAAAGTGACTGTACGAGTTGGCATTCTCACCAGCAGTGGAGGACTGTTCCCCTTTCTCCACATCCTCTCCAGCATAAACTGTCATTAGTGTTTTTGATTTTAGCCATTCTGGTGGGGAGTGAGTGAGATGGTATCTCAGAGTTGTTTTGATTTGCATTTCCCTGATGGCTAAGGATGTTGAGCACTTTCTCAAGTGCCTCTCAGCCATTTTAGACTCATTGAGAATTCTCTATTTAGTTCTGTATCACACTTTTTAATTGGATCCTTTGGTGTTTTGGAGACTTGCTTCCTGAGTTCTTTGTAGATTTTGGAGATCAGCCCTCTGTTAGATGCGGGGGTTAGTGAATATCTTTTCCCATTGTATGTGTTGCGTTTTTGTCTTGCTGACTCTGTCATTTGCCTTGCAGAAGCTTCTCAGTTTCAGGAAGTCTCATTTTTTAATTGTCGATCTCAGTGTCTGTGCTACTGGTATTATGTTCAAGAAGCAGTCTCCTGTACCAATTCGTTCAAAGGTACTTCCCACTTTCTCTTCAAGAGGTTCAATGTGGCTAGATTGATGTTGAGGTCTTTGATCCATTTGGACTTAAGTTTTGTGAATGGTGATAGATATGGATCTATCTGCAGTCTCAGAGCAGAGCCTCAAGCACAGGGCTGAATATTTGGCTTTTGAAAATGCTAATTCAGAATGTAAAATGGTGATCATGTCTTTAAAGGCAAGATCAGCACCCACAGATGAATGGAGTAGAAAAACAGCTGATATTGGATCTCATACTTACAATGATACTTGGATAGGGGAAGCGACTTGTAAAAATTGTAAGAAAAACCAAAAGGTTAGATGTTTTAATTCTGGTAAACCAGGCCATCTGAAAAAGGATTATAGGCAAGGAATTCCTAGGAACAATTTTTTTTCTAGAGAGAATCCAAACAGAAGGACCTAGCCTTTTGGAATATGCAGGTATGGCAAAGGCCAACAACACTGGACTAATGAGTACAGATCAACATGGGACAGGCAAGATAACCCTTTACTGTCAGGAAACAACATAGGGGACCACTTTCAGGCCCTTGTGTCATATTTAATTCAATCATTCCCTTTCAGCATTGGGGAAACTCCTACACGGAGCAATTAAAAGATTTAATGTCTGTTATGAAAAAGCATACAACTCTGGATGACAAAACAGATTTAGAAAAAAAAACAAAACTTTCAAGAGAAACCATGAAGCAAATATTTTGGCAAATTTCCACAAATGATCAATGACCAAAGTTAAAGCTATTGAAAAAATGGCATTGTAATTGAGATTTTAGTGGACACACATGCAGATGTAACAACAATTTCACCAAAATTGTGGCATCCAAATTGGCCTCTTCAGGAGGTGAATGTTCAGCTAATAGGGATTAGAACTTGATGTTAGGTAAAACAAAGAACAAGATGGAGAAAATGCATAGAGCTAGAAGGACAGAGGAGTAAGTTAAAACCACATGTGGCTAACATAGCAATGTTTTTATGGGAATGTGATTTGTTACAACAATGTAACACCCAGATAAACATTTCTCCAGTCTCAGAAACAAACCATAAACTAAGGTATGTTTCTGAGAAAAATATTAAAAGGTATTATAAAGAACAGTCTCCAACCATTTAGGTTGTATATAAACAGAGCACTGCTGCTGGTCTTTCAAAGGTACCAACAGCTCTACCTTTAAAATAGTTAGCTACATACAGGGTATCTGATATCTGGTGGAACATCGGAAAAATTACAGGCCTTAGAACAGCTGATACAGGAGCTGCTAAATGCTTAACATACTGAAGAATTGAACAGTCCTTGGAATTCTCCTATATTTGTCATTTAAAAATATCTGGAAAATGGAGTATGGTAACAATCTAAGAGCTAATACTGAGATGATTCAGTCAATGGATTCTTTTCAGTCTAGAATTCCTTTGCCTTCTCTATTACCTAAAGGATGGTCTATTATAGTGGTTGATTTAAAAGACTGCTTTTTTACTATACATTTGCCATGATGGGGTTTACAAATTGCTCCTGAAAAACACAAAGTGGAGATTCTATTAATTACCTAGGATATAACATAGGTTTATAAAAAATTCAACCACACAAAGTACAAATCAAGAAAGATCAATTATGAACTCTTAATGATTTTCAAAAATTGCTGGGAGATATTAACTGTCTATGACACCTCAAGAACTAAGTAACTTATTTCAAACCTTACGAGATGATAAGGACTTAATGTCCAAGAAAATTATCAGTTGAGGTTGAGAGAGAACTGGCTTTGGTATAAAAGAAATTACAAGATGCACGTGTGAATTATTTAGCTATACACTTGATTGTATTTTGGCTAGTTTACCTTCTGTGCATTCTCCTACTGGAATTCTAATGCAGGGAGAAGATCATATCTTTAAATGGGTATTTTTACCATATAGAGTAAAAATTAAAGATGTATGTAGAGATAGTTTCTGAATTGGTTCTGAAAGGAAAATTAAGACTTCATCAGTTAGCAAGAATAAACCCAGAAGAATTGTGGTACCGTTACCAATGCAGTAATTTCCTCATGGGAAGAAAAGTACCATTGGTAAAGAGTTTGCAGTAAGTTTGGGGAAAGATTAGCAACAAATACCCCAAAATCAAGAGACTTCAGTTTGCAAAGAGAATGACTTAGATCCTTTCTCACATTGTATGGGGGAACACTAATTTCTGGATCCCCTACATTCTGTACTGAGGCAAACAAATCATAAAAAGGTTATAAGTCAGGAAATTTAAGGGGCTCAAAGCACTTATGATTTTGTTCAAAAGTGAGCATTATTTGCTATTCTCATGGTGTTATTAGATTTTCCAGAACCTCTTAATATAGTAGTTAACAACTCTCAATATGCAGAAGGAGATGTTTTACACATTGAAACTGCTGAACTTATATCAGATAATTCAGAATTAACTTTGTTATTTATTCAATTACAAGAAATAATTGGAAATAGAAGTTATCTCTTCTAATGTAACTCATATATCCCATAGGGGTCTACCAGGCCCTCTAGCACAAGTTAATGATGAAACATATGAACTGTTGGTTGAAAATGTGCTAGACACCTCAGAATTTCATAAGAAGCACTATGTTAATAGCAAATGTGTAGCAAAATTCTAATAGGTCTCAATAATAAAAGCCTGGAGTCAGATATAGGGGGAACTACTGGGAGATCAGAGAGATGAAGGAGCAAACCACAGCTATTACCATCCCAGCAAAAAAGAGATTGAGCTCCTGTGTCTTCACGTCTTATCACATCTTCTCTCTGCCCAGCCATATCACTTCCTGTCTGTCTGTACAGACCTCAAGTCCTCTATGGTTAGCTAGTGACTAGCTCTGCCCTCTGATCTTCAGGCAAGCTTTATTTGTACAAACAAGATATCACCACATTTCCCCTTTTCTGTCTAAAAATTAAGGAAGGAAGGTTATAACTAATATAGGAAAAACTATATACAATAAATACAATAGCTATATACAATACATACAGACAATAAATACATCAACAATGTCTAGTCCATTAACAATTGACAAATTCAGAGAAAATACTCCATTATGTATCCTATGTTGGTGAGTCCAAAAGGTTGTACCTAAGTCATTTTCTATTCTAACTTGCATTACCAAAACTCTTTTTATGTCCTTCAACCTTATATATTTTACATTTCTTTATTGAATTTCTTTTCTCAATCTGGTAACAAGGAAAACTATTACTATAATAATAAAGTCTTCAACTCTATCATAGACTCGAGAAGAAGATAATATTACCTTAGTAAGCAGGAACTGCAAGCAAGCAACTTCCAAGAAATGTGAGAAATGACAGAAACATCTGGCTACCTGGACAGTCACCCAAGGTTCCTATGTAACATTGGGGAATCCATCTTCAGACTATAGGTCTAGCATATCTGACAGATATTTCTGTGAAGCAGAGTATGCTGAAGGGCTGTCCTATCTTGTCTTGGCAAAGTTTGTCAGTTCTTTTTTTGGGGAGGGAACATGCTTGTCCAATTTGGACAGCATACTGTCAGCAGTTGAGGTAAGAGCACCCCAGTTGCTATCCTTTGCCACAAAGAAAGTAAACACCATATGGAGTTTCTTAGATGCCCATCATCTTCTGTGAAGTAGATTGGTGCTGCCAGGAGCAGCCGTGTTTCATTGTCATTAAAAAAAATCAAACCTATGTTATTAAAACATTTTAAATGCCATATTCTGTAGATCTCTGAAGAGTTTGAAGACGATCTGTCTATGTAAAATATATCTCTTTTAACCTTTAAAACATACCTAATATGACTATAAATTCAATTGTAATAGGTGACTAATTGCTAACCTGCATTTCCTTACTATCCTAACCAGTTGTTAATAATAACTTTCAAGGACTAAAATTTTGCATTACATTGCAAGATTAGAAATGTTCTAATAAAAATAATCTTAACTTTGTATAAACATACAAAAAATCAAGCCAATATGAAATATTTAAAACTAGTAGTTGCTTTATTGGTTTAAAAGTAGATTAAATAATCTATCTTTTAATCCTATTTATATATCTACCCTTATTTATTTTCACAGTAGATGCAATAATCTATACTTATATCCTGTCATATCTATAGACCCCTTTTTTTCTTTTCAAAACAAGAGTTCTGAATCTAATCTCCTTTGTTCAACTTTCTTCCTGACTGTAACCAATAACAATTTGTAACTGACCTCCCCCAACAATGGCAAATAACCATGACCCATCGAATGACCAAAAACCACCTACCCCAACTCTCAGGAATGCGGGTGTGATATCCTTAAATTGACTTCCTGCTGTCTGGGGGCAATGGCATCCTTGGAGGATCCTGAAAAGAAAAATTTGGGTTAATTGTCAAGTCCTGGAAGAGGTAGTGCACATTTGTTATCTGGTTTCTGAGTAATGGGAAAGTGCAGAGCTTGTTTCAAGTCCTGGCTAGAGTAGTCTGTGAAGCTGGATCATCTCAGCTAGGCTCCTTGAAATTGTCTTGAGCAGTTCGTAATCCAAAGCTGATCTTTGGGTGGTATTTTGCAGCTTAGTGGTGTTATAATAGTCCTGGTGGAATCATCATTATGGTGTTCCATCATCATTTTGGAGACTTCAAAAGCCATTGTTAGACACGCTCATGGTTCACTGCAGAAAGCTTAGACATTTTAAATTTCTTATGCAGCAGATCTCAAAGAAGCTAAAGGATTAATATTTGTTATGTACATCCAGAGTACAAAAACTTAATTCCTAGTTACCTGATAGAGACTCAAATCCAAAATCATGTACAGTAAGCTAAATGAAGTATTTTTCTGGAATATAGTACTGTATATGACCATTAATATCATGGCAAAAACTTTAAAATGCATATATTTTAATCCGATGAATTTTTAGATAATATTTATACCTCAAGAAAAGCTTCAAAAACTCAAAATAGAGCCAAAGAATTATGATATTAGTGGCAATAATATAGACCCTAATTTTTGTTTTCCTTCTGTCCAATATCAGGTGGCTCTTCTGACATGAGACAGAGATTTTTTATTTTACTTTAACAAACACACTTGGGTTTAGAGAAGGACAGAGCCGCACACCAACTCCAAAGACAGCTTTAATAACTGATTGGATTTGGACTACAATGAGACCAGTTGCATAACGTATCTGTAAGAAAGGCAGAAACAGATATTTTGGGAGAGTTGTAAGATTTTATCCCGTTGGAGATGTAACATGCTAATAGGCCAATTTCCTCTTTTTCTTGGGACATTTTTTTCTGGATTATTTATCCTTTTCCTTCACATGTCTTATTTGTCTAGTGGCCTTCATATTCCTTAGTTAGATGCTTTAATTCTTCAGAAAAAAAAAACCAAATACAAATACAAAACCCTTCCCCAACCCTAATTTTGTGGAGCTTCCCTTATGACAAGTTATATCTGATCAAATTAAAGCATTTGCTAGTTTTAAAGTTAGTTTATATTGAACAGCCATGCTGTTTGATTAATTATCACCTCTTCTAATCAAGGAGTATCTATAGTTCAAATCTAATTTTTATCAATTATGATGGCATCCATAGCTTCCATTCTCCTGTGGAAAAAAAAGCAAAACGCAAATCTTGGGCTCCATACAGGGGTCAGCACATCTTTAAAGCATACTGGCTGATTTAATTCCTTAATTTTATCTGTTATCCAATGTCTCTCTGCAGCTGTTGTTTCTTCCACATTAGCACTTAGAAAAGTCAAAGTTAATAAAGCACTATGCAAACTGTTTCTGGGGGGTTATTTATTAGACCTTTCTTTTTATTTAGCATATCATTTAGAGTTTGATTTGTTCTTTCTATGATTGCCTGCCCTGTAAGATTGTGTGGTATACCTGTACTATGCTTTATATTATAATAAGCAAAAGAACTCTTCCATTTTACTAGCGACATATGCTAGAGCATTGTCTGTCTTTATTTGTGCAGGTATACCCATGATGGCCATAAATTCTAGCAAATGTGTAATTACCAAATCAATCTTTCCAGAACTCAAAAGCGGTTGCCCATTGAAAACCTGAATAAGTATCAATAGCATGGTGTACATATTTTAATTTTCCAAATTCTACAAAATGGAACACATCCACCTGCCCGATTTCATTCCTTTGAGTACCCTTTCAGGTTACATTCTGCTGGTAGAGGAGGTTGGTTTTATAAAGAACAATTAGGACATTTCCTTATAATTTCCTTGGCTTATTGCCAAGTGACAGAAAATCTTTTTTCAAACCTTTGCTATTGGCATGATTTTTTAGTGAAATTCTGATACCTCCAGCACATTTTACAACCCATAGTTGATCAATTTTGTCATTACCTTGTGCTAGAGGACCTGGCAGGACCATATGAGATGGGATGTGATTGAGATATGTGATTAAAATACATGTATATATATATATGTACATATATATATATATATATATATGGGATGATTACTATTCCTGATTGTTTCTTGTAACTGAAGAAATAATAAAGACAATTCTGTATCATCTGGTATAAATGCAGTGGTTTCAATATATAACAATTCTTTCTGTATATTGTGAATCAGTAACTATGTTTAGAGGTTCCATAAAATCCATTAATAACATGAGAATGGTATATAATTCTGATTTGAAGAAAATCATAAGGGCTTTGAGCCACATTACTTAAATTTTCTGATTTGTAACCTTCATTTCCTGATTTATTTGCATTAGTATAGAATGTAGGGGCTGCAGATATTGGTATTACCCATATAATGCAAGGAAGGATTCAATTAGTTCTCTTTATAAATTAAATTCTCTTGCTTTCAGGATATTTGTTGTTAACTTCTTTCAAATAATTACTGAAGCTCTTTGCCAAGGTTTACTTTCTGCCCATAATTTGTCAATGTCATCATTAGTAAAAGGTATTACAATTTCTGCTCTATCAAAGCCTGCTAATTGATGAAGTTCCAAGTTTCCTTTTAGAATCAAGTCATAGACATTTTCCTGTGAAGTTTTTAATTTTTTACTATGTTTATGTGGGGGAAAGACTCATTCTAAGATAATATCTTACCTCTGCATTAATATTCCTGTAGGAGAATGCTTAGAGGGTAAAATAACCAAAATGAAATCAAGCTTTGGATCCAAATGATCCACATTTGCATTCTGTAATTTCTTTCCCATCAAAGCTAATTCTCTCTCAACTTCAACTGATAATTTTCTTGGACTATTTAAGTCCTTGTCAACATCTAAGGTTTTAAACATTTTTGTTTCTAATCCAATAGTGGGCCTAAGATAGGAAATGCCTCCTAGAAATCATTGAAAGTCATTAAGAGTCAACAATTGATCCCTCCTAATTTGCACCTTTTGGGGTCTAATTTTCTGTAGACCTATTTTATATCCTAAATAATTAATAGAATCTCCTCTTTGTATTTTTTTCAGGAGCGATTTGCAATTCCCAACAAGGCAAAATTTTCTTTACTTCTTCAAAAATTCTTTCTAAAGAATCTACATTTTAGTCAGCTAGTAAAATATCATTCATATAATAGTAATAGATTGATGAAATTGCTTATGTATCCAATGGCTAACTTACAAAATATTGGCACAGGGTGAGGCTATTTATTATTCCCTGAGGGAGAACCTTCCACTGATATGTCTTATCAGGCTGAGAATTATTATAAGTAGGCACCATGAAGGCAAATTTTTGTCTGTTTATTGTAAAGGTATACTGAAAAAAACAATCTTTTAAACCAATAACTATACGAGGCCATCTTTAAGTTAAAAAAGAAGTCAAAGGAATTCCAGACTGTAGAGAGGCCACTGGCTGAATCATCTTATCTGTTATAATTCTTCATTTTCCAGATTTCATTTTAATAACAAATACAGGAGAATTCTAAGGGCTGGTTGATTTTTCAATATGCTGAGCATTTAGTTGTTCCTATAGCAGTTGTTCTAAGGCCTGCAGTTTCTCTGTTGTTAAAGGCCATTGTTTAACCCATCAACCATTTTAAATGTAGAGCTGTCGGGAACTTTGAAATAGCAGCAGCTGTTGTGCCCTGTTCTTGTAAAACCTGAATTGTTGGTGACTGTTATTTATAACAGCTTCTAATGTTTTCCCAGAAACATACATTAATTTATGGTTTCTTTCTGAGATTGGCGGTATGTTAATCTCAGTATTCTATTGCTTAACAAATCACATCCCCATAAGTTCATTGCTATATTAGCTATATGTGGCTTTAATTTTCTGCTCTGTCCTTCTGGCCCTATACATTCAACCCATCTTACACTCTGTTTTACCTGAGATAAAGTTCTAATACCTAGGTCCACTTCAGCCCACACTCAGAGCAGAGGGCAGAGGTGAGCACTCGGTCCCCATCTTAGACCAGAATTCCTCCCGATTGCCCTCTCTCAGATCCCATGGCCTGGGGACTGCAGCCAAGTTGGTCCCTGAATGGATGAGCAAGAGACCAGGAGCCTGCAGAGGGAGCTAGCCCACACTCAGGGCAGAGGGCAGAGCCAGGTCGACTCGCCCCCAGACAGATGACCAAGCAACCAGGAGCCTGCAGAGAGAGCTGATCCACTTCTGCCCACACTCAGGGCAGAGGGCAGAGAGCAGAGAGCAGAGGCCAGAGAGTATTGGATTTACTTGCACCCACAGAAAGGGAACCCTGGTCTCCCACCCACCAGGAGAGGAAGAGACTCTTTCTACACCCACTGGAAGAAGTGATGGGGAAGATGCAATATAAGAACACACTTAGCAACAGAAAAACAAATATGACACCACCAGAGTCTAGAGATTCTGAACACCCCAATGCGGATGAAGCAGAAGGGAATGATCTTAAAAACACCTTCATGAAAATGATAGAGGCCCTCAAAGAGGGTGTGAGAAAATCCCTTAAAGAAATAGAGAAGAAAAAACAAAAAAAATTCAAGAAATGGAAGAAAAAACAAACCAAAAAATCCACCAAATGCAAGAAAGGGAGGAAAACAAGAAGCAAAAATTACAAGAAACAATTCAAACAGTGCAAGGGTTGAAAGCTGACATGGAGACAATAAAAAACACAGTCTGAAGGAATGCTGGAAATAGAAAAGCTGGGAAAATAGTAAGGTACTACAGATGCAAGCATAAGCAACAGAATACAAGAGATAGAAGAGAGAATCTCAGGTGTAGAAGATACACTAAGAGAAATAGAATCATTGACCAAAGAAAATCTTTAGTCCAACAAATCCCTAACACAAAGTGTCCATGAAATATGGGACACTGTGAAAAGACCAAACCTAAGAATAATAGGTATAGAAGAAGGTGAAGAAACCCACCTCAAAGGGGCAGAAAACATATTCAACAAAATCATAGAAGAAAACTTT